AGCTGAGGAAGAGCTGCCTTTTCAAAGTAGAGCTGACTGTGATGATGCAAATGGAGAAAAGTTTTCAGGATCATCATTGGCTTAAAATAAGGAGAAACAGCTGCAAACATCCATTAATAATCATAATACAGAATATACACTGTGTGAATCTAGGAAATTTTTAAGTTGCCAAAAATGAAATGGGATGCATGAAGATCAATATATCCTAGGCATTAGCTGAAATGGACTGGTGGGGGCAGCTTTGATTATGACAATCATGTGTGTTACTATGTCAGGAATGACAAAGAGGAATGTCATAGCATTCATCATCAAAAAGAACATTTCTGCTTTCATCACTGATAAGGGGAAGTGAGGGAAAAACAGCAATGAAGCTACAAACTAAGCCCTGCATCACTCAATAGATTCCTGTGAATCCAGATGGAGACCTGGATGGCCAGCAGTGTGCCAAGTCCAGGGGACTCTTGAACCCAGAGTCAGCGACATAGCCACAGAGGACTAGAGTGAAACACCCAGCTGATAAGAAAAGAAGGCACATGCATAAGTACACCCACACTTGCAGATAATACTCACTTGACCTGGTTTCAATGGCTGGATGATCAGAGCTCAAACAGAAGAAGAAAGAAGAGGGAAAAAAGAATAATCTGACACAATTTGATGAACTTGATACAAACTATGGAAGCAATAGCTCTAAAGAATGAACAAATCTTCACAGTGAGGATCATTCCCACCTCCTCTGTACACGGAAAGGACAGGGATGGGCAACTTGGACATTGACTACCCAGAATGGGGAGGGGCTACAGAGACAAGAAGTACTTACTGGCTTACAAGCTTCAAGAGGGAACCTAGATTCAGAAGGCATGGAGCAAGGTAGAATCTTCATTGAGTAGTATCCATTCTGCCTAGTAAGGGCTGATGAAAGGAGATGCAGATAGATCGCTTGCGATACAATAGTGAATAATTGTTATCAAGACTGATTGTAAGGGCTGTAAATGTCAATGGACATTTTGGGGCAAAGGAAGGGGAGTGATTATCCTTACAGTCTAGGAACGAAGGTCCCTGGGACCATCGAAGGAGAAGAGTAGAGAATGGAACCCTACCCAGGGAAGCAGTGATGCCAGGAATGGAGGCAGAGATGATGACATGGGGAGATGGAGCAGCTGGAGACTTTGGACCTGGAGAGAGAGAGGGGCAGTATGCGGACAACAGCGGGCAGGCTTGCAACCCTTTGGTTGATCGATGATGCATGGAAGGGATTGTAACCATGGCAAGGAAACAATATACAATGGGATCAATGTGAAGTCTTCCCATGTAAACTATCACATAATTTACAATAAAGCATTAAAAAAAAAAAAAAAAAGAACATTTCAAGATCTATTTTGAAGTACACTGCTGCCTGTGATAGGATGATATGTGTAAAAGGAAGACCATCTAATACCAATATTTGTTAAATTTATGCACAAACCACTAAAGCCAGTGATGATGACATTGAAGAATTCTACAAACTTCATAAGCCTGAAATTGATCAAACATGTAATCAAGATATATTGATAATTACTGGTGATTGAAATACGAAAGTTGGAAACAAAGAGGAAGGATCAGTAGTTGAAATATACAGCTTGGGACTAGATATGGTATTGGAGATCACATGATAGAATTTTGCAAGACCAGTGACCTATGCATTGCAAATACCTTTTTTCAATAATATAAAAGGTGACTGTACACATGGACCTCACCAGATAAGTATAATAATGAAATGTGCAAAAACATGGAGTTAGAAAACCAAAAGTGAAGAACATACTCAGCATTTCTCAAGTTGAATAACTGAAGAAAAAAATCAAGCCTCAACTTAGAATATTGAATAATTTTATGAGCAAAATATTGGATGATGTAGAAAGCATTGAAAGAAGATGGAAAGGAATATACAGAGTCACTGTACCAATGTTCAACCATGAATGAGGTAGCAGAACTAATGGTACGGAAGGAAGAAGTCCAAGTTGCACTACAGGCATTGGTGGAATGCAAATGAAATCTTTCAACAAATTGATGCAGCACTAGAGGCATTCACTCATATATACCAAGAAATTTGGAAGACAGCTACCTGGCCAATTGTTTGTAAGAGATCCATATTTGTGCCCACTCCAAAGAAAGGTGATCCATCAGGATGTGGAAAGCATCAAACATTATCATTAATGTCATATGCAAGTAAAGTTTTGCTCAAGGCAATTTTTTAATGGCTGTAACAGTTCATTGACAAGGAACTGCAAGAAATTTTAGCCAGACTTAGAAGAGGTTGTGAAACAAGAGATGTCATTGCTGACATCATATGGGTGTTGGCTGGAATCAGAGAATACCAGAAAGATGTTTACTTGGGCTTTATTGACTATGCAGAGTGATTGTGTGGATCATGACAAACTATGGATAACATTGCAAAGAATGGGTATTCCAGAACACTTAATTGTGCTCATGAGGAACCTGTGCACAGACCAAGAAGCAGTCATTTGACTAGAACTGGGGGATATTGAGTGGTTGAAAATCAGGAAAAGTGTGTACCAGAGTTGTATTCTTTCACCATAGTTATTTAATCAGTATGCTGAGCAAATAATTTAAGATACTTACTGGATTATAGGGAGAAGAGGGTGGCATCAGGATTGGAAGAACACTCATTAATAACCTGCAATATGCAGAGGATACAACCTTGCTTACTGAAAGTAAAGAGGACTTAAAATACTTACTGATGACCACAGAGACGAAGTGGGATAACTGTTGTTACATGGAGGGAATTGCAGTTATTGAGATGAAGCAAAGTATATGATTTGTTGAATGTAAGACTGATGATGGGCTCTGTAAACCTTCACTTAATTCACAATAAAATGTTAAAAAGAAAATAACTTACTGATGAAGATCAAAGACTAAAGGCACCTTAATATAAAGAAAACAAAATCCTCACAACTAGACCAATAAATAACATCATGATAAGTGGAGAAAATATTGAAGCTGTCAAAGAATTCATTCCACTTGGATCCACAATCAACACTCAGGGAAGTAACAGTCAAGAAATCAAACAACACACTGGATTGGGCAAATCTGCACAAGATGTCTATAAAGTATTCAAGAGCAAATATATCAGTTTAAGGACTGAGATGTGCCTGAACCAAGCCAAGGTATTTTCAAACACTTCATATGCATGTGAAAGTTAGACAATGTATAAGGAAGACAATAGAAGAATTGATGCATCTGAATTATGGTATGGGAGAAGGATATTAAAAGTACCATGGACTGCCATAAGAACAACAAAATCTGTGTTGGAAGAAGTACAACCAGAATGCTCCTTAGAAGCCAAGATGGCGAGACTTAGCCTCTCATACTTGGGATATATTATCATGAGGGACCAGTCCCTGGAGAAGGACATCATGCTTGGTAAAATGGATGGTCAGTGTTATAGAGGAAGATAGATTGGCACAGTGAGATAGATTGGCACAGAGGTAAGCATCAATGGGCTCAAGTATAGCAACAATTGTGAGAATGGTGCAAGACCATGCAGTATTTTGTTCTGTTGTTTATAAGGTTTCTATGAGTCAGAACTGACTTGTTTGTAAGAGATGCATCTAACAACAACAACATCATGTCCTGGGGACTTGGGATCTCAATAAGCCAACATACACTTTCTAATGACATTACTTAGAATACCTGTGACACATGAATAATAATTTTGTCCCTCTCGCTCCTTCAGTAGGGGTGAAGGAGGGAGGGGGACAAAATTCACTTTTGAGCTTCATACACAGACTTTCGGAGTCCTGGTGTGGCACTGTCAGATAAAGTACTGGATTGCAATGTCAGTGTGAACTGCAAGATCGGTGATTCAAACTCACCAGCTGCTCTTTGGAAACCCTCTACAGGATCACTATGAATCAGAACTGACTGGATAGTGCTTAACAACAACAAAACACAGACTTTTGGCTAGTCTTTGTGATTAATAGTACTGTGTGTGTTAGTTTAAGAGAAAGAAGTAATAGATGAAAGCAAAGGGTATGGTCATGATTTCTTCTTTGTCTATTAGTTGATTTGTATAAAATCATAACCTTAATATTCCATATACTAATCAATTGGGAGTCCTGGTATGGCCCTGTGGGTTAATGTGCTGGTCTGCAAAGTCAGTTTGAACTGCAAGGTCAGAGGTTCAAGCTCACCAGCTGCTCCTCGGAAACCCTATAAAAGGTCACTATGGGTTGAAACTGGCTCAGCATTTGACAACAACAACAACATACTAATCAATTATACTGTATTAATGTACATACCCTTATACTATATTGAGTTTTGTGAATCTCTAAATTTGGTATCTAATTCATCTTTTTGTTGCAAAGATTTTCTCAAAAGAATACATTTCTCTAGTAATTGTAAAATTAATACTTTGCATTATAATTCAAGAAATGTATTAAAATCATATTTTATTTTCCAGAACTTAGGCAAACATTGTGTGGTCTTCAACTGTTTTGAGAATTTGGATTATAAGGTAAAATTTAGTCATATGTGCACATGAGAAAATATTGTATATTTAATAAAAATAATCCATTGAGCAAAGAATAATTTTTAAAAATTACTTTATAGAGTCACTAAGTAGCATTAGAACGATAAATGCTATTAACTATTTTAAAGAAATACTGTACCATAAAATATAATTGAAACTTCAGAATTACAATTTGCTTTTAGTTTAAGGTGAATTACTCCCTAAAATGGTGGTTTGCAAACTTTGTAGCAGTGGGATTCTTTCCAAGTACAATCTTATAGGGAACATTGATATGAGGGATTTTCAAAATGTTTGTGGGAAAAAACGGGACTTAAAGATAAAAATAAAAAAACTTTATTTCTGAACATAAGCCCATCAAGTTTAAGACACTGTTGTAAGCAATGATGTCAGTCATCTAGTCCATCCCTAAAAAACTGAGCATCCTAGAAATGTAACCATGTCAATTTAGTCTTTTTTACATTATTAACTGGAGAAAAATAGGTGTTCTTTAAAGATCTTTTTCAGATGCAGAAACAAAAATAAGTCAAAAGGAGCCAAACCAGGATTGTAATGTAGATGCCTAATGATTGTTCATTGAAACTCTCACAATCTTGCCTTTGTCTGATTAGAAGGAATGAACAAGAACATTGTTGTGATGGAGAAGGGCTCTCTGATGAAGTTCCTGGACATTTTTCTGCTAAACCTTCAACTAACTTTCTTAAAACACTCTTATAATAAGCAGATGCTATTGTTCTTTATTGTTGTTGAGTGCTGTTCAGTCATTTCCAACTCATAGTAATCTTGTATAGGGTTTCCAAGGAGCAGCTGTAGGGTTTGAACCTCCAACTTTGTGGTTAGCAGTCCAGTGCTTATCCTTCAGTGCCACATCAGGCTTCCAGAAAGTCAACAAACAGATGCCCGAAATATCCAAAAAAAACTTTTGCCATAACGGGACTGCATTTACTTTGGCCTACTTCCACCATTTGGGAGCCATTGTTTTGATTGTGGTTTTCTAACCGAATGTCCTTGGATTCAGTCCTGTCTTATTAGCTGATCAAAAGAAGATGTATACTAAACACAAGTGAAACAGAAGGTGACTTCATTGTCTGCTCAGCTAAGGAGCACACATGATCTAATGACCATTGTCTTTAGAAAAGACTGTGAGCTCCCAAACAAAGAGAGTCAGGTATACCTTTATAGGATTTTGCTTCCATATGGTGTTGGCCAGCTCATTCTTGGAACTCACCCTCCCCCAATCCAAATCTGGAGATAACAGTTGCCCCACAATTGAGCAGGACAGCCCCTTGCTTTTGTAAAGGGCTCCAGGTGTGCAAGTGTTGTCATGAATGGGTGCCTTTTCAGCCAATCTTTGTTCTGTGACAAGTTATGTACATGAGATGTCTTGTCTGCCAGGTTCCGATTGCCCAGCAGACATTATGTTTTTATTTTGTTTTGTTTTGTTTTGTTTTTGCTGTCTTCTTAGAAAATATGGCTCAAGAACATGTTTGTGGCTAGTCACAGGACTGTTAAAAGTTATAAAGACAGCTATGATTTGTTCTACTGCAAAAGTAATCTAGCATGCTCTTTTGAGAGATATCACTTGTTTTCAGGATTGTACTGGGAAAGCCATGTTTCATCTCCTTTGACACTTCTTCCAGGAACTGCTACAAGATCTTGATCTCACTGTTTAAAATTTCTATTGAAAACTCTGCTTTTGTCTGTAGCTGATTTGGACACAGTAGTTTTGGTACTCACTGAGTGGAAGATTTGCTCAACTTTAATTTTTCAGTCAGAATTATATAAATGGAAGCAATTGAGATGTATACGGTGTTAGCTATTGTTGTTTTGTTTTGTTTTTCTACTCATGGTCAGTCATTGTCAATTAGGGCACCGTGAACAAGATTAATTTTTACCTTTCAAACTGATGTGGGTGGTCTGCCACATCTGCTTCATATTCAACATTATATCATCTCTTCTTGAAGTAAGTTGCCTTTGGTAAACTGCTGATTTCTTTGGGGCGTTATCCCCATAAACTTCTTATAAAGCATGAATGATTCCACCTTTCTTATACCCAAGCTTCATCATAGATTTGAAGTTTGTTCTTGCTTCAGTTTTAGAAGAATTCATGGTACTCCAATAAGGATTCTTTTCAAATTGTCACCTAATCCTGATGTCTTATCTAGGGCCTCAAACTAGATCTGTTAAAAAATGTTGTATAACAAGTTAGTATGAGTTTATTTTGGTGCCAAAAAGAAAACCATGCATAGTTTTTTCATTTTCCATGAACTTTTTGAAGACCCCTCGAATATAAACATTTAAGAACCCTTTCTTATAAATATAAATTTATAAGTTCTGACCCTATACATTTATTTGCTAAAATGGTAATCATTAAGACAAGGAAACTGTTATGATTAATGCAAAATTTTGAGTCATATTTTATGTGGATAGTGTTTAAAATTTTATTTCATCCTTGTTTTGGCTACATAGTTTCTAAAACACATCTTATAACATTGTTAAATATTTAAATTGGTTTTTAAATTTTCATGTATTTCTGTGCCTTATTCAAAGTTTCAAAACACTACAAATTACTTTGTTTTGCATTTTAAGTGCAAATCTGTTACATTCTGTTGTTGTCATGGAATCTATAGTTTAAAGCACATTGTCTTTGAGGTCCTGCAATTCCAATTTGTGCTCAGTTAGCACATTAATATATATATGGAAATGTAATTATCATTCTTTTAAGAAACCTGCCTAATAGAGTCTCTTGCTACATTCCTGCAAACTACTCCTCTCCAGTGGGACCCACTGGGAATGGGACTTGAGTGAGGTAAGTGAGGTACTTGCCTCCTGAGAGAAATTTAAGAGGGAGTCAAAAAATAGTAATCGAGATCAATAATATTTTAATGCAATCTTTAAAAAAAAAATATTTCCAAACTAATTCCCTTGGTGAATATAATAACAACAATTTCATAAAGATAAGATCCAATTCTTTGCTGCCCAATAAGAGTCTTAAACTTCTGTACCCTTATGGTTCAATATTCTTTTTCTCACACTCTTTCATTCCCTTTCCTTCCATCTCTGGGACATATCACAAATTTCCTCAATCTCCTAGTATGGGTCTTTCAGATCAGCACTGGACTGTGAACCAAATGGTTGGCAGTTCAAACCCACCAGCTGCTCCTTAGAAACCCAATACAGGGTCACTATGAGTTGGAACTGACTCCAAGGCACTTAATAACAACATATGCAACCCACATATCTTGTTTGGCTTAACAGTGTTTTTGTTTGTTTAGTTAGAAATATTTCTAACATTTACAAATCAATGGATTACATTGCAAACTTTCACAGAACACTGGAGAGTCTGGTCACCTTGGACCTGCCCAATAGTTGTTGTTAAATGCCGTTGAGTTGGTTCTGACCCATAGCTACCCATATAGGGTTTCTAAGGAATGGCTGGTGAGCTTGAACCATTGAAGATACCATTCAAACTGACCTTGAAGTCCAGCTCATTAACCCACAGTGCCATACCAGGACTCCTGCCCAATTGAAAATGACTGAAACTGAGAGCTCAAAGCTGATCCATAATCCACCTTTTATCTGTAACTGGGCCTTGCTCACTCATCTGCATTACCCACCAGCAGTACCCACCCCACTAAGTCATAAGGACTCTTATTCTAATCTAGAAAAAAGCTGTCTTCTTTCCAGACACTTTCTGGCCATCTGCCAGGAAATTGTATAGACTCCTTACCCCAGTGTGTGGCTATTCAAGGTAACTACCACCCATGGGAGTGGTGTCCCCCTTGTGCAATTGTAATTGTGACCCTATGACCCTATGTGATCCCTATGAGCATCAGAATTTGGTGGGGCACTATAGGATAAGACATTGGACTGAAAAATACATTTGAACCTGAAGGTCAGCAGTTCAAACCCACCAGCCGCTCCTCAGAAACCTTATACAGGGTCACTATGAATTGGTATCGACTTCAACAGCATTTAACAATAACAACAACCTACAAAAGACAGGCAAAGTTGGTGAAAGTCAAGATTCTGAGCAGTTGCTGTTTTCAGCCATATAGAAATGTTTGAGGTGAGGGAATGCAAAAGATGATCACTTGGATTGGGTAAGATGAGTAGAACATGTACAAATTAATATCCCAGTAAATGTTCTCACTTTTATAATAATTTCTGTAACTTTTTTTTTTTTTTAAGATAATGCGGAAATTCTTGTTTGGACTAGTTCAGTCTGGAGCATGGTGTTGTTTTGATGAATTCAATCAAATTGATGTGGAAGTTCTCTCTGTCATTGCCTCACAGATCCTAACAATTAAGGAAGCCAAAGACAGCTATTCTGTTAGGTAATTGTTATAATGCTTATAAATTTTGGATGGAAATCTGACCTACTTTTACTATTTAGTTATTTATATTTTCTCAAAAACAAGTGTTAGGAGATTTTTGTAAGCACATAACAAAAGGGATGGTAATTATCTGTTTTCTTTGCTTGACAAATAATGTGACTATATATATAAAACTCTAATTATCACATCATTTTGGAGATAGCCAAACTCTGTCTTCTAACCTACCAAGAAAATAATGCAAGTATATTCTAAGTACTTTTTTCCCAACTTAAATTCTTTTTGTATGTTTTCATATGCAATGCTCTATTGCATTTGAAGAAGCCAAACAAAAGTTGTTTTTCTTTTATTCCCTGCAATATATCATTTTAAACAACAAATTCAAACTGGCCACATGCTTGATGACAGTCATTAATGTGCTTTTATTGAAAAGCCCTGCTGTAGCAATAGTTTTATGTTAGAATTTCTAAAAGCTAAGTTGTTTTTTTTTCTGATAAATTCAGGAATGCCCATGATTTACTTGATAGGCATGATTTGGTTTATTTTTTAGGCCTAAATTAAGTGTAAATGTAAATTTCTATTAGCCGTTATGTTTAAGCTAATGGCAGAGTTTCAAACCTCTCCTTTTCAGTTTAGTCATAGCAAACAAAGCGAAACCAGAACAGACCTGAATTTGTAAAATGTGAGTGAATGGGGATAATAGCAGGAATGGGAAAAATCATGCATCAATGCCTAGCTATAACTTAATCTCCCTCTTAGAAAATAAGGGAAGCGTGTATGTTGCATAGCAACCAGATCTCTTGATAAGCATAGTCAGTAACAGTGTCGCCCCACTCAAAGATGGTGGATGGCCCACTGCACCGCTCTGAATGGTGTTGCTCTATTCAGCCCTGGTAATAATCCAGTCTTCCATACCAAAGCCATGAAAGGACTCAAGATCCTGCTTCTGACTTACCCACTCTAAGCCTTCCAGCCATAATTTGTATGGTTCTGGCTCTTGTTCCACTTTAGCCACATTTTAAAATTCCAAATCTATTCTGATTTCACTTTGTCAGTCATGACTAAACCAGTTAAAACAAGTTCAAAGTGCTGGCATGGGCACTACTCACTCTGAGCTTGTTCTCATAGCTTTTGTCTAAACTGTGTTAGCATAGCTCACAAGTCTGGATATAGATAAGGTCTCAGTAACGTGCAGTTTCCCAACTCTTTCCCACACCTTAGCTTCCATAAAGATTTCTGCAGTTATGTTCATGGGGTCCCCATGCTTTTGCCCAAGCTTTCTTCCTCTTCTGTTCTGACCGCTGTCACTGGTCAAAGCCACCCAAGATCTCACTGGAGGATCTCTACCAAAGGAGCCTGGTGGGTGGCACAGTGGTTAAAGCACTCAACTGCTAACTGAAAGATCTGTGTGGCAAACCCACCAACTGTTTCATGAGAGAAAGATGTGGCAGTCTGCCTTCCTAGCAATTTACAGCCTTGGAAACCCTGTGAGGCAGTTCTATTTTATCCTACAGAGTCACTGAGTCAGATTCAACACAAAACTGGGGATTTAGTACCAATTATAGGATACTGATGACCATGCCAAAGGTTTTATCTCCCAATGATCCCCAAATTATTTAATTTGGAATTCTTAGGTACTGTGTTCCATGTTGAAGCAGTAACTTTGTACTGTGCTGCATTCTATCTATGTTCACTGTGTCAGCCAGACAGAGCTATTTTATGGTCCCAGGGTTTCTTGAAGCTCTTTTCCTTGTGCAAATCAACTCATTCAGATGAATACCTTCTATTCTTAGGCTCCACAAACCTTTTCAGACACAACCTAATATATCTGAATCCTAACAAGGACCTCACCTTTGGCTCAAAACGAGCCTCTTCTTTTCCCCTTTCTCTTACCATTGTTTCTTTTCCAATGTGCTCTGCTTGAGTTTAAATGTAACACAGTTTAAGAAAATTCCCAAACTTGCTTGTAGTTTTAACATACTTTGGCCTAGAGAAAATTGTTCTCATTGTGATGCATACTGTATTGTATTGTAGGTTTGTACTGGAAGGAAAAGAAATTCGTATCAATATGTCTTGTGGGATATTCATCACCCTGAATCCTGGGTAAGTATCAGTGAATCTGTGATAGAAGTGGATACAGGCCAAAATCCTTTCCCTAAATTTTGTCCACAGTTGGAATTACTTAGCATTGTATATCCTTATTGGATACCCTTTTCTCTCTGTATAAATTCCCCAGTGCCCACACTATTTATGAGCAATTGCAACTCTTCACTTATTCATATGGATAATCTCACACTATAAGCTTCTGGCCAAGAGGCATTTTCACTTCATGAATAGCCAAAAAAAAAAAAAAAAGGAAAACTCCTGAAGTTTTTCACAAAAAGGATGTGGGCAGAAGAGTTGATGAAAATGTCAAGAGAAATGAGGACATGGCAGTGAGTGGATGCTGGGCAGTTCTATAGATACCTGCTGACTGAAAGAGGCACTAGTCCAAGGAATCAAAGAGAATGGATTTGGGGAAGAAATGTGGGAGGAGGAGCAGGAAGAAAGAATGATAAACTAGAAAACTCTGCGAGATGAAAGACACAGTAGAAACTATCTTCTAACCTTCTGTTTTCAGATAAAGATCACATAAAAAGCTCTAGAATTATTTGGGGAGGAAAAATTGTATTATATGGGTTACTCATTTGAAAAACTGAAAAGTGGTATTTTGTTGTTGTTATTTTTATGTGTGTTTGTTTGTTTTCTTATCCTGTGAAGATACAAAGGTCGAGTAGAACTCCCAGACAACTTGAATTCTCTGTTTCGCCCAGTGGCAATGATTGTACCTCATTATAAAATGATTGCTGAAATAATGCTATTTTCACTTGGCTTCAAGTCTTCAGAAACCCTCTCTGGAAAGCTAGTTAAGCTTTACGAATTAGCTAGCAAATACCTCTTGCAACAGGTAAAAAACAGTTTTTCCCCAAATATTTAAAAGTGATTATATAAAAATAACTTTAAATAAGGCTTTTCTGTTTATCGTACTGGTACAGGAATGACCTGGAAAAATAGTGGGGTTAGAATTCCTATCTATGGTTTAAGTCCATATACCAACTTTGGTTTAAGGCAATATGTATTAATATCAGTTAGACTGCTAACTGAAAGGTTGGAAGATCAAGTCAACCCAGAGGTACCTTGGAAGAAAGGTCTAGAGATCTATTTTCAAAAATCAGACACATAGGGTCACCATGAGCTGGAGTTGGATAAACAGCAACTCAGTTTTTTTTTGTTTTGTTTTATTTTGTTTTGGCTATGTAAACAAGGTTTTAAGCATCTCCTCCAAGACCTGGATAGAGTTTAAGAGTATCTGTTATTTTAAAGTTTAGACTACTTTCTCTAAGCACAGTGGTTTAATATAAAGAACAATAGTTCTCAAACTTTATTGTACATCAGGCTTTCAAATCTGTTTTCCTGGTACATGGCCAATGAATTAGCACTGAAAAAGACACCAATTTGTAAAATGTACTGGAACGATAATAACAACAGAAAAAAATTGTGGGTCAACAAGCACCCTGCTAGAAACACAATCTCTATCTTAGAAAACAAAGGCAGTGTTCACATTGCATAGCAAACAAATCTCTTGATCAACAGAGTCACAAACATATTTGCCCTTCTCAAAAATGGTGCCCCCTGCACTGCTTTGAATGTGTGTCGGTCTCCACAGTTCTGCAGTAATCCAGCTTTTGCCATCAGACTCTTGAAAGCACTCACTATACCTCTGAGTCTACCATTCCAGGGCTTTGACCTCTGTTTTTCCACATTCTAGTCAGTACATCCACATCTTACAAATTCAGGTCTATCCCAATTTTGCTGCCTTGGCCAAGACTGAACCTGAACCAGCCTGAGCTAATCCAAAGCCTTAATCAGAAGAACTTAAAAGGTTTTTTAAACCACAAATTGCTGGGCCTCAACTTCATAATTTCTACTTAGATAAAACTGGAATAGGGCTCAAGAATTTACATTTTTAACAAGTTCTCAAGGAACTCTGGTCTGGTAGCGTAGTGCTTATGAGTCAGGCTGCTAACCCCAAGGTCAGCAGTTCAAAACTACTAGCTGTTTCGCAGAAGGAAGATGAGGCTTTCTGCTCTCGTGAAGATTTACATCCTCAGAAACTCTATCAGAGTCACTATGAGTCAGAACCAACTCCACAGCAGATAACCACCACCAACAAATTCTCAGATGTTACTGTTGCTGCTGATCTGAGTACCACACTTGGAGGATAACTGCTCTCGGATATGGTAGCTTACTGAGTGTTTCTAACCCAGAATAGCTTGGACAGGTATCTATAGTATCTCCAAAGTGCTCCTCTCTTCAATGTTCTTTCGATTCATATCTTTCCATTTCAGAGAGTATCTAATTCAGATACTGTTAGCCTTTGCTACCTTTCTTCAATACTTCTCAATATTTCTTTTAAGATGGAGACTCATAGGAGCACCATTTTTGGAGGGAAGTGAAAACATTAGAAGTAGAATTGGAGATTTCTTGAACTCATACCACTATTTCTCTTTATAGCATAAATTATCAGTAATGTAACCACATACAAGGATAAGTCAAAAGTATTATAAATTAGGGTTTGAGTTCATACATGCACTGGTTTATTCCAGACAAAACATGTATAAACATATCCCTATGATTAGTAAGTGACTAAAAACAAGTTCTCTAAGTCAGACTCTTGTCTTAGTTTCATTAGGGTGCATTCAGAATACAGGTCCACTCAAAATCGTTAAGGGAATTGACTGAGCTAGTTCAATTCAAAGTGGAGGTTAGCTCAGAAGGTAATGGTGACTGTTTTGAGGGGTTCTAAAGAGGCAATATTGATAAGACTTTCTCAAAGGACTCAGAGGCTTGTTATGAAGAAGTCTTAAGAAAACTGGAAATTGCATTGGTGAGGAAGGGACCTGGAAAGTTGTGCCAAAGAATTTTTTTTTCCATCATGACAATGCACCTGCTCATTTTTCAAGGGTAGCAAGGGCTGCTCTATGAGAATTTCATTGGGACACCTTACCCATTTACCTTTTGGCCCTGATCTGCCCTATCAGACATCTTTTTGTTCCTCAAACTCAACAAACATTTAAAGGAACACAATTTGAGTCTCTTGAGGATGTCAAAAACTGCCATTTTGATAAAGTAGAAATCAAGAGTGCAGAATTCTTTAGGGAAGGCTTAGAGAGATGGAAACACCATCTTCAGAAGTCTATACAGTTAGATGGAGACAACAAGAGACAGCAGCTTCACACATTTAAAACTTTTTGTTTAATAAAGATTTCTGATTCTGTAGCAAGACATTTTTGACTTATCCTCTTATACATTCATTTCCAAATTGTTCCATTTTCCCTCAGAAACTTCAGTAACTCATGTATTTTAATGCTTGATAGGATCACTATGATTTTGGCATGAGGTCCCTGAAGACGGTGTTAATAATGGCTGGAAAGAAGAAACAGGAGTTTAAATGGTCAGTTGAATTTTGAGTTAAAAACATTAGGTCAACAATGAGGTACCACTTCTCATTGACTATAATAAAAGAAGAAAAATAGCAAGTGTTGGTGAGGGTGTGGAGAAATTGGAACCTTCATGCATTACTGCGAGTGATGTGAAATGATACAGGCACAGTGGAAAACAGTTTGGTAGTTCATAAAAATATTAAACCTAGAACAACCCTATGACCTATTCATTCCACACCTAGAAACACATCCCGAAGATTTGAAAGCAGAGGCTCAAATAGAAACTTAGAGGCAAATGCACATAGCACCAGTACTCACAATAGCCAAAAGGTAAAAACAGTCCAAATGTTCATCAACAGACAAATGGATAAATAAAATATGGTGTCCTAAACAATGGACTATTATTCAGACAAAAAGATAAATAAAGTTCTGATACATACTATAATATGGCTGAACTTTAAAACATTCTGAGTGAAAGAAGACAGACACAAAAAAGCAAATAGTGTATGGCTCTGCTTATGTGAAATATCTAGAATAGACAAATGCATACAGACAGAAAGTAGATTAGAGGTTACTGGAGTTTGGAGTGAGGAGTTATAGGCAGTTATGGTACCTATTTGTACTCATTGTGCAGGGTAGTGAAATTACTTAACAAGGCCCTTTTAGCCAGAGTTCTCTGTTTTGTGATGTATCCTAAATCCTAGCCTCTGTGCCTGGGGTTGTGGTTCCACTTTGGAGTGAGTTGCCTACTAGAGAATATATCTGGAGTCACCATCCGTGGTCTCCTTGAGGGTATGGTCTGTATCCAGTATAGATGAATCCTCTGGCAAAGCTCTCTGTCTTGCTCTGAATCCTGCGTCTGGCTCATTATTCTTTGATGGCCTTTTTTTGGACTTGAGCTAGCAACACATTATTATCTCACCTGGTTTGCCAGCTTCTGTAGCCTAGTGAGCTAGCAGCCTGTCTTCTGGCCTGCCATTTTGGGTTTGCCAGTTCCTGCAACCAAGAGTCTTCCAGACTGACACCTGGCCCATAGATTTGGGACTTGCCACCCTCCACAACCACATAAACCATTCCCTTGGTGGTTGTGAGTTCTGTAAGACATTTCAGTGAGGTCCAAGAGCTGAACAGAAAATTTCAAAGATCAGCTCGAGATGATAAAACCAAATACTATAATAAAATATGCAAAGATTTGGAGTTAGAAAACCAAAAGGGAAGAACACGGTCAG